TGTGTATGTTTGCTAATGCTAATGGCATGTAAGTTGGTCTTCAGTGAAGCAACATTGCGTTACATTGTCAACCACAGAAGCAGAGTTTCTTGCTGCGAGTGAGGCTTCTAAGCAAATAGTATGGTTGAAAACTATGTTGGGTGAGATATATGGTCAAGAAATCAAGGCTGTTCTTTTTGTAGACAACGCTGGAGCTGTTCGACTAGCTAGGAATGCTGGAGAGTTTCATAAGCGGTCAAAACACATTCATGTGAGATACCAGTATGCACGTGAGCAATTTCTTGCAGGTACATTTGATGTACGTCACGTGTCTGGGAATGACCAACTAGCTGATTTCCTGACGAAAGGCCTACCAGTGTCCAGATTGAAAACCCTGTTGGAGCGTGTTAGTTTGAGGGCATATTGAAAGAAACTAACTTGCTCAATGGCTATTTAGAATCACATGGTTTATAATTAATTAAATCATGTGTATGATTGTTTTTATCTTAAAAACATGTTTTTCTGAAAACACAGTTAATAATAAAGTTTAACAACTATTAATCAATTATATTTTCTTTCTTTATTTAAAACTCAGCTTACCGGTGCAGGGTCAAGCTTTATTCATGCCATCTGATCTTTCAAATCAATGGTATACACATGGATTTATTGCATACAAACACAATTTTTTAATAAAGACTGTCATGCGTCAATCTGGCGAGGATTAGCCAGTTTCCTAATGCTCTTACTAATATTGCTCATGGAACGATACAAGAGGAAGATTATATTATTTTCTTTAAGAAGATTCATGTAAATCATACTAACAAAATCGAAGAAATACTGTTTGTATCATGGCATGAAAAGAAGAGGTGCTAACGTGGCTACTGACATCCTTAAAATTGGCTAAGCTGCATGTGCATAGTTCTGTAGCATTCATTCGTGTCAAATAAAAACCTTCAATAACCGCATATTGAGTTGCAATGAATGCCAATATTTTGAAAACATCCTCAAATTAGACAAAGAATGTAGAGTCATGTAACGCCACAACCTTTGGACCGATGCAGGATTAGTCTATGGCACTGTTGGCACTGTCCACAATCTTAATATATAAAAGAAAGTTGTGTTAGTTACAGCGTTTGTATAACTAGAAAACTACTGAACCAATTGGCATTAAAATTTACAGGGATATTCCTTAGGTACCAGAATAACATAATAGCCTGTTTCCGTTTCAAAAACCCTTAAGGGAAGCGTCCTATGGCCCTTTGCAGTTTACATGTTAATCTTATGGAAGAATGTTTTATTTTGTTTACCATGCCATGTCATTTCTTGATTTCTTGATTAAATTAAATTAAGGAAACAGCTGTTGTTTTGATAACCTAATTTTTAAAAACAAATCTATGCATGACAAATGAGAGCTATCAAATAGGTTTCTATTCCATTTGTTTTTTACGAATATTTGTTGTCAAATGTAACTGAAGGCAAGTAAGCGCAGCGAACGAGCTCCAAACTAAAGGTGAGTGAGCGTAGCGAACGAACTTCAACCAGGACGTGATTGAGCCATGCGAACGAGCTCATCTTGAAAATGAACGAGCATTTGACATAAAACCACATTAGGACAGGACGACGTCTGTCGGGCCAGCTAGTATTTTATACAACGAATAATAAAAAAATGAATAAGTCACTTGGAATGTGACTTAATCACTTGGAATAAGTCACATTCAGCTTTTATGTGTATTAGTTGAATTTAGCAATTATAGAGGACCTACATTATACAATAATGTGGTACCGATTTTCTTTATTGTTACTAAATTTGTAAAACGTGACATTATAAGTGTACCCAAAAACAATTTTTATTGACACCTGCCTTTGACAAATTCCAAGCAGTTGTTGATATTGGACCAAAGGACTTCAGTTCAGAAGGTATATTGCTGTGAGCCCGTATGAACGATATATAGATTGCTTTTCGACTCAGGATTTCCAAAAGAACGTCTGATAAAGAATCTAGTCGAAGATAAACGTTTGGTACTGTTATACCGCTTTTTGAGTTTTAGTTTGAAATGTTTACATTTGTTAAAATTAATTGGCCAATCAATAAAAGTAATGCCTACACAATCATAAAAATAATTTTGAAGCTTTATGGTGAGGGTCAATGGCATGATAATTTCCTCATGACTCCGCTCAATTTTGTGGACGCGTCTGCAAACGCCACCTAGTACCTTTTACGACCACATTTTGATGAAAAAGAACACTTTTTATCGCATGGTTGAAACATGGCCTATTTATGATCAATTGTTAGGTTAAGTTAATAATACAAATAGGCCAAATAATAATACAATATAATAGTACAAATAATATAAATGTTTATGACAGTTTATTATGAAAATCTAACCTTGGCATACATAGTATTAAAAAATGTAAACTAAAACACACGTTAAAAGTAGGGATGGACGAGATTGGATTTTTGGTTTGAGACGAGACGGGATTTTTTATTTCTCATAAAATTTTGAGACGGGATTTCCCTTTTCATACATAACGTGAAATGCACGTTTCACATTTTAACCTGATTGTTGTAACATTTTAAATACCTACTGATTTATGACAGACTGGTTTAATACAAAAATAATAATAATAGACAAAAATATTTAAAAAATTTTATTAAAAAACATTAATAAAACCATCAGTATCAAAAAATTTAATAAGGTCTAACTTTTTAAAATAACTCTTCGGCATAGGAAACATGGAGATATCAGTTAGTATATAGTTCAACTTTGAAAAATATCAAATTTCTAAAACAACAGTATTACTAGTTAAGTATCAAGTAACAATTTTTAAGTCTTGTGTTATGTTTAGAATGATTTTGGAGTGACTTATTTTGGCTATGTTTACAGTAGTAAAACATGTATCACACTGCTTACACTAACAAAACTTCTCATCATTTGCTATGTTAAAAAAATTATAAAACAATTGAAGCAATATTTCCATGTAAAGAATTAATAATTAAATAAAAACGCCTTCGCAAAGGAAACGCAACATCAAAACGCTCCTGTATTGCAGGTATTGCTTTGACTTTCTGCAGGGGGCTTTTTAGCGAATTTCCCATATAGGGAATGAGTTATTACCGTAGTACTCATGGTAAGACCTGGACCCGGGACCGATATAATTTTTCGTTTTGAGGTCCCTAGAGGCCAAAAACACCATCCGTTCAAATTCATATGTATATATGTGTCCGTTAGCATGATAACTCGAGCAAAAATGATCCGATTTTGATAAAATTTTGTACAAACAAGAAAACCTACGTTTATTCTAACGAGTTCGCGAACCGGCATAATTGGACCATGGGAACGGGGGTTTATGGGCGGTTTTATGGAGTAAAAATGGGTTTTTCCCATTTTTGACCCTAAAAACAAAAAAATTTCATTTTCTTTTTATACTGTTTTGTAGAGCTTAAAAAAAGAAATAAGTTAGTATATTGAAGCGCTGTTGTATGCCTAACAGTCACGGAGAAAATTCAAAAATAGTGTAATTTAAAATTCCCATGTTATTCTTATGGAGAAAATGAAAACTGTTGTAGTTTACTTGTTTATGGATATTAGGCAAATTTATTTATTTCTTCCTATACTATTGACGTATGGTCAAAAACACTTTTTACCTTCCCCGTAGCAGCAAACCTAAGCACTTGTTAAATCTAATGTTATTTAAATTGGGAATAAATATGTCTTATTCATGGAAATATTTGAGTAATAATGTAATAAGACAAGTTGAAATTTGCTTAGTCTGCAGGTTTGCTTTGGCGGGGGTATTTACATTTTTAAATTGTTTTCTTTAATCTCATCTCAAAAAAATCTTGACTAAAATAGAATCTTGTCTCGTAGAACTAGATTTAAAATTTCCCGAAAATTTTCCGAAATTTTGAGACCTGTCCATTCCTAGTAAAAAGCAGTTATTTTCAACTATTTTTAATTTTGGAAAATTCAATTTAACTACCAATACAACTTGTTGAGGTAAAAATGACTAAAATTTACATAAAAAAGCTGTAAAGAGCTAAAAAGTTAAGTGTAGATTTTTTATGAGCTTGTGTTTTTCACCAAAACATTGGAGGCAGTAAAATGGTTGGCCAGGACAGTCCTTGCAAAAGTTTTGATTTTGTCTTCCGATCAAGAAAACATTGAAATAAAAACACATAAAACAATGCCTCCGTACTGCGACCGGTAAATAGTAGGCCTACTAAGTGTTAAATGTTTCGTACAATGTGTTGTGTTTTATGTGTATTTATTTAAATGTTTTTTGACGAGTCTACAATGGACGAAACGTTCTTGAAGGACCACTTGACAATGCCTATGTTTAGGCAAAACATGCATGGTTTGACCATACATTTATTGAACTCTGGACGTAAAGGTATGTACCTTAAATATTAGTCTAACAGGAGACTTCTATATAAGACCATTAAGGTCTATGGTCAGCCCTGGAGTTATGAAACTTGTCAATCAGTAAGTAAAGTTTCCTCAAAATCAAGCACTGTCTCAAAAATTTATAAAAACCCCCTATCGGCCCCTTTTTGCAAATATTTACGGTCTTCTGCAGACCCTCCAAGCCACTAATGCACATTTTCAGAGTGACAACACTTTTCTGCATACTCGACTGTCAATTGGCAACAGTAATAAACAGGGATTGAGCCCCTTCTGACAGGACCTTGTCACAGAATGTGATTCAAACTCGGCTAGAATATAAATTTTCTTTCACAACGTTTTAGAATGCTTGGAGGTTGATCTAAGATTTTAAGCACCTTGCTTGGCTTAAACGGAAACACAAAGGAGACCTTGATGTACAGGGAACCCTTGTACTACTACCAACAATTAATTAATAAATCATTAAGAAAACTTTGTCTCCATCGTCGAATTAGCAATGTTGTACAATTTTCATGAAATTTAATTTAGCGATGCCAATTGAAAAAAAAAACCTATACAACATGTTTTATCAAAAAAAGTCATTGAAGATCAGAGCTTACAACAGTTATAAACACAAACCATATCTGTTGTTTGTCTCCCGGTGTCTGTCTGCAGCCACTTGTTTGTAATGCTGCAGGAACAGACCAATGTTGTTTGTGAAGGCCTGGCCGTAGACTGCAGCACTAGTAGGCTGATGACAGCTGGCCACTACGGCCTTGCGACACTCAACAAACTGCATCCACTCAGTCAACACAAACAGTTTCTGATGATCTCCAGTCGTTTGGCATACACTGAAATTACCATTTTATTTATGATTTTGTAAAAGGAATACAATAAGGTAAAACTAAACAGAGAGGACAATGGAGGTTGTAGTGTGTAAGGGGGTTACACTAGCCACCTTCATGACACAACACTGTAGAAATAGTTGATTTTCTATGGAGGAAACTAAATAGTGAAAATAAAAATGTAAGTTTATAGTTTGTAAAAAGGGTAATCTTACTAATATTATAAAACTGAAAGTTTGTGAGTTTGTGTGTATGTTTGTGTGTGTGTTTGTTGCTCAATCACACATAAACTACTGGACGGATTGGGCTGAAATTTGGCATGATGATAGCTCACATTCCCGATTAACATTAACGCATATTCTTATCTCAAAAACCCTTTCGGGCTCCGCCCCAGTGGTTTTGTAGTTCCCCATGTTAATCTTTTGATTTTTCATATTTAAAAGGAATTAATGAATCTTAACAGCTGTTTCAATTAAACAAGTTGGTTCTGTTCTATGATGTTCAACAGCATAAAAGTTACAAGGATTACCAACAGGGTGCAGCACTATTATTTTTTTTTTTAAATTTATGACAACAGCTAATTTCCAACCAAAAGGTGAGTGAGCGTAGCGAACGAACTTCAACCTGGAGGTGAGTTAGCGTAGCGAACGAGCTAACCTGAAGGCAAGTGAGCGCAGCGAACGAGCTCCAACCTAAAGGTGAGTGAGCGTGGCGAACGAACTTCAACCAGGACGTGAATGAGCCATGCGAATACTTATGAAGTTAAACGGGGCGAAGCCCGCGGGTACAGCTAGTTAATTATATAGTCACACAAGAGTGTTTTAAAAGCCCACCTGTTGATTTCACTAGCAGTGTGTGACAACTTGTACTCCGTGCAGCCATCGAGAGAGAAGACAAGTTTCATGACTATGATAATGGCCGTCATCACTTGAACTTCTGTTGAGGATGACTCATGGAGCTTAACTTTACACACTTCACTATTTAAGGATAGTCTCATTAGATTTTTTACCATTTCACAAATTTCACCTGTTGAACAAAAGCCAGTTTTTAGTACAATATATCTGAAATCACACAAATAGCCTAGGTGAAGTAGTAAAAGGCAGGACCCAGAAGTAATGGCAGTTGGGATGTTGACTTGAGAGAGAGTGGAGGAGTCTATTGCTCGACACGGTGTCCATTACAACCCTGTTGACTTTGTGTGACTTTCTATTTGCCCGTAAGAGTTTTTTTAAAGTTAAAAACAACCTTATTTGTTATGGCAAAAACGTGATGGGGAATTGATTATATCAAAACTGACTGCAAAACTTTGTTTCTTAATAGGGAAATAGGTCGCCTATTGTTGTCATGCTGCCAAAATCATTGAAAAAAATCAATTTTCTTGTTTGTAATCATTGCCAAACTATTGATTAACTCCTGAATGAGAGTCAATTAACTATTAATTAAAATTTACAAAATCTATTATTTGGTTTGCTTATGGGTTTTTTATTCTGAAAGGGTTAACCACAAAATACAAACTATTAAATATCTCCCTTGCTCATGATTTACAGTGTCAGGGTGTCTAGTTTATTTCCATTTTAAAATTCTGGACTAATTCTAGACTTTTCAAGACTAATTCCAGATTTTTAAAGACTAGTTTTTGCAACAATTAGTGAGTGTCGATAGCAAACTGTATCAAATTTTGATTCTTGATATTGATAACAATTTTTATAGTTTAACCAAATTGTCTAAATAATTTGGTTATACTACACACACCCCTGTCTTTATGTCACAAATTATTATTAAGGTAATGTGGTGATTTGAAGTAAAGACAAAATGCAGCAATGAAAAATTCTAACTAGCCAATTAGGGTTTTTTTATCATGAAATCTTCCGTGGACGTGTAGAGACATCATCATTGACTGCCGCGGTCACAGTCACGGAATTGCCATCGACGTCATCCGCGATCGCAGCAAAATCATGCACAATTCCCGCGGTCGTGTAGACATCATCATTGTCTCCCACGGTCACGTAAACTTCATTATTTTCGTCCGCGATTGCAGCAAAATAATGAAAATTTCCCGCAGCCGTTAAGACATTATCGTCGTTTCCCGCGACTCCGGAAACATCATCGTCATCATCCACGATCACGGCAAAATCATGAACATTTCCCACAGCCCTTTAGACATCATCTTGGTTTCCTGCAATTCCGAAAACGTCATCGTCATCTTCCAAGATCGCGGCAAAATCGTGAACATCCCCTGCGGCCGTGTAGACATCATCATTATTGTCTTTTGCGGTCATGTACACGTGATCGCCGTCTTGCACGATCATGGAAAAATCATGAAAATTCCCGACTTTGATATCAAAATAAAGATTAAATCCCGACTTTTCAAGACCATTTTGAAATTTAATACTAATTCCTAACTTTCCCGTTTTTCCCGACTGCGAGACACCCTGAGTGATACCTGGTAGCTGCAGTTCCAAACAGTAGCGTTCAGTGAGGCGAGCAACATTAGGTTGAGGCAGGTCCACAACATCCAGTTCATAACACAGTGCAGACATCAGCTGACGGCACTTGACATACGACATGTGATGCACATCCAACATCCTGTGAAGCTGAGTGTCTAGCTTAACACTTGCGGGGAGGAATTTACTGGCCGTCCGCAGTGAAATGTGGCCTTCTTCCACCCACCTACAAAGTTAACATACACAGTAATAAACAGTATAACTCAGAATGGATTCTCAGAAAATCTTAATTAAGGTACTATTAACAGGAAAAGCAGTTTTCCGAAAAGTTTTGTTTGATATTTTAGGATTTTGGTGTAACATTCAAAACTAATTACTAGAACAAAAATATAGACAAGGGTACAAACAAGAAACAAAATTTTAATTACTTGGGATTTTGTTGTTGCAAATATGAAACTAATATACATAGGTTAACAATACCTCATCAGAGCAAAAATCTAGATCTTTTTGCATGAATATACAGCCTGAATTTAATTATTTTTGTCTAGGCGAGGATCCTCGTACTCTTCAGGCAAACAAGAATATGATGGAAAATGAATAGTTATTTGTGTAACAAGTGTGCCAAGTAGCACTTTGATGCACATGAAAGAAATGTTTACGCACCAGCCGCAGTCGAGTGTGGAAAGTTTCTCCAGTGCAGCAAAGGCAATTTGCGCTCGTGTTACACATAATATTTTTCCTACAGTTACTATAAAGCATCAAAATAATTAGTCTTTCAAACACGCTACAACACGTTTTTAGGTTGGGTTAAATCAAGTGTTGAACAAAATTAAAAACACTGCATCAGCTGATCGTAGTATCTTTAGGTTTTAGGAAAAATCTTCTTATAAAGATGAGGCTATACGAGATCAACTTGTTGTAGCGATTAGAGACAAAAGTTTATCTGAAACTAATTATAGTGCAGCCAACTTATTTCCAAGCATAAACGTATTGCCTGCCTAAGTGCGGCAAAAGTAAAATGTGTGTTGTTATTCATATGTGTTTAAAAACATATGGTGTTAGAATATTATTTGTTTAGTTTGTGTTGGTAAACATTCTGAATCTTGATTTATTGTAAAAGCTACCTAATAAAGTATTTGTCTTATTAAAAATATTTTTTAATTTAACTTACGATAACACTACATGGTGGCAGCGGGGTTTTTATTGTTTTAGCAATACAGTATATAAAGATGAAAGGTTTTAGTGTTCCTTCCCCAGAACATTTTGATTTTAAAGGAGAAAACTGGTCTAAATGGAAAACCCGTTTCTTGCGCTTTCATGCGGTGTCTGGGCTCACCAATGAAGACGAACCATATCAGGTAAACACCTTACTATATATGATGCGCGAAAAGGCCGAAAGCATATTTGAATCATTTAATTTCACATCTGAGGAAAGTAAAAGTTTCAAAACTGTTAAAAAAAATGTATACATATTTCATTTCGCTCCTTCTAAAAATGTAATCTATGAGAGGTACATGTTTCATACTAGGGTTCAACATGAGGAAGAGCGTGTTGAGAGTTTGATTCATGATCTTCATGAGATGGCTTCTAGATGCGATTTTCCTGCTTCTTATAAAGATGAGGCTATACGAGATCAACTTGTTGTAGCGATAAGAGACAAAAGTTTATCTGAAAAACTACAAATGAATGCAGATCTAACACTTAATTCTGCTGTCTCAAATGTCAAGCAAGCCGAATCGGTTAAAATGCAACAATCATTGATGATGACCAGGTCTTCTGAGCAGTCACTAACTGCAGATAAAGTCACTTCAAGAACTTGTGGCACTAAATTTGCTCAGAAACCTCCAGTTGATTCCAATGTGTCCAGTACCAATTACTAAAATCATGCCAGTGTGGTAACGCTCAACATGAACGACCAAAATGTCCTGCCCGGAATATTTTCTGTTGAATCTGTAACAGGAAGGGCCATTTTGCTAAATGTTGCCAGTTCAAAAATGTCAAGGAAATAAATTCAAAGTATTTAAGCTAAGATAGACACTGGAGCTGACGTTTGTGTCTTGCCACAATCACTTTATAAGTTGAAATTATTTATGTACCCACTAAATTCAAGTAACAAAGTTTTAATTGGGCCTAACAGATCTGTCCTTAATATCTTAGGCCTATTCGAGCGTACAATCCAGTACAAGAATCAATATTGTAAGTCTCAGTTTTATGTAATATCTGGTGCTGATAGAACCCTTTTGAGCAACAAAGTTAGTGAAAAATTGGGTCTATTTAAAAGGATGTTTCGAGTCAACTCAACTGGCTCATTTGATCCCTTTACATCATACCCTAAAATTTTCAGTGGTCTTTTTTTTTTTTTTTTTTTTTTTTTTTTTTAATAGAGGGCCAGGCTTCAAGTAACCATGGGATTGCAACGCAGCTAGAACAGCTTATTGTGCACCCTCATTCACAGGTCCTCATTCTTTGTCAAATCCCAGGTCCTTTGTGAACCGTGAGATCCTTTTGACAATGGTGACCCGTTCTTCCCTTTGATCTCCAGTCGATAGGCCAAGGGATCTCATGCGCAGACCTTGTAGGGCTGGGCACATAAATATCACGTGGAATGCTGTCTCCTCCTCCTCTCCACATTTCCTACATAAGAGGCTTTCAACTTGAATTCCCATCTTGTGTAAATGTCCACGGAATACCCAATGGCCGCTAATAAAGCCAACCACCTTCCGCAGGGTCTTCCTACTCAGCCCAAGGGCTTCTGCCGCTATCGCACCTGTAGGTGCCTTCAGCATTCTCTTTGACTGTACATTTCCTTCTGTTCTTTCCCAGTTCCTTTGATGTTCTATGCCCATCCACTGGCGAACAGCTCTCCGTGCTGTGTTGTAAGCAATACCACACGTCGGCTCTGGACCCATGAGCGGGCTTTCAGCTCCTTTGTTTGCCCACTTGTCAGCTCCCTCATTGCCAGCAATACCTTTATGCCCTGGAACCCAACTAAGGATGATCCTGTTGGTCTTTCCCAGGGCTTTCATGGCTTGATGACAGTCCCATACAGCCTTGGAGGTAAAGTCGAAACTGTCAAGTGCCATTAGTGCTGCTTTGCTGTCTGAGTTCATGTATATAGTGTGGCCTATAAGACCGCGCTTCAAACACACTCTCGCACACTCAGACAGGGCCACCACTTCTGCCTGGAATACAGTGGCCATTTTTCCCAAACTTACGCATAACTGCACCTTGGGTCTGACTCCATATATTCCAGCCCCCGTGCCCGTTGGCTTTTTTGAGCCATCCGTATACCAGGTGATCCCCCTTTTCATGAATTCAGGTTCACCCTTATCCCAGGCATCCCTGTCAACAATGTTAACATTGTATGGTTTTTCTAGATCTGTGATCTTCACCATCCTGTCTGGTAGCATTTCCAAGGAGTTCTTTTGCACCTTGTCTACAATTCTTGTGTGCTCACTGGAGGCATTATACTTCCAGTTGCCACTACAAGCCATTCTGTAGGCTGCCATCCTTGCCTCTCCTTTCACAATGATGTCGAGAGGTGGCAGGTTTAGCACTACTTCCAGGGCTGCAGTTGGAGTGCCTCTCATGGCTCCTGTGATGCTAAGGCATGCTACTCGCTGGATCTTTTGTAGTCTCTTTACAGCGGTAGTTTGCATTACCTTGGTCCACCAGACCACCGAGCCATACACCATCATCGGTCTTGCGACCCTAGTGTATAGCCAGTTAGTCATTTGTGGACTTAGACCCCAGGTCTTCCCAACAGCCCGCCTCATCATCATAAGTGTGGTCTGAGAACGTTGCGTTATATGTGCCAAATGGCTGTTCCAGGTGAGCTTGTCGTCCAGCCTTATTCCTAGGTACTTGAACTCCCTCTTAACCTGGATCTGATTACCGAAGAGAGTTGGTACTCTAGCGATATCAACATTTCTCTTCCTTGTAAATGGTACCATTACAGTCTTCATTGGATTGACCCTCAGACCTTCCTGGTTACACCACCTCTCCACTATGGACAATGCCCTCTGCATGAGTTCCAGGCAAGTGTTCATAAATTTTCCTCTTATTAGTACAACAATATCGTCAGCATATCCTTGAGCGTACATGCCCTGTGCATTGAGCTCGGACAGGAGATCGTCAACCACCAGATTCCACAGATTTGGTGACAAGACGCCACCCTGTGGACACCCTCTTTGGGCCTTGACCTCTCTCACCGTCCCACACAGAGAAGCTTGCGCTCTCCTACTTTCGAGCATGTTGGCTATCCACCTCACTACAGTGCTTTCCACATTTCTTGACACCAGCTTTGATACAATAGAGCGAGTACTGGTGTTGTCAAAAGCTCCTTCTATATCAAGAAATGCAGCCACCGCTATTTCCTTGTTCGAGATAGCACTTTCAGTCTTACTAACCAGCGCATGCAGGGCTGTTTCGCATGACTTTCCCTTCTGGTAGGCATGTTGGTTCGGATGCAAAGGATGGCTTACCAAGACCCTATCCTTTATTCGTCTATCCACTAATTTCTCCATGGTCTTCAGGAGAAACGATGTAAGGCTGATTGGTCTAAAAGCCTTGGGCACAGCATATGTATCCCTTCCGGGCTTCGGTATGAATACCACCCTTGAGGTCCTCCATGCTGTTGGTATAACTCCACTGGCTAAGCTGGTCCTGAAAAGACGCACCAAGGGGAGTATCAACTGGTCCCCACCTTCCTGCAAAAACCCAGGATAGATGCCATCGGTACCAGGAGCTTTAAATGGTTGAAATGCCCTAAGCGCCCATTTGATACCGTTATAGGTAATCACAGCCCTAGCGCAGGCCCAATCTTCTCTTACCGTCCGCACCCTAGTCTCTCTTTCTATCTCCACCTGGACTGTGCTCTGCGGTTGTAAGGATCCTGGGAAGTGAGCGCTCAAAAGGCTCTCCAGCACTTCTTCTGGGCCGTCTGTATATGTACCATCCTCCTTAAGCATTGTTCCTAAAGGATTAGCTTGACCTCGAGCTAGTACCCTATGAAGCTTTGCACATTCAGAAACACTCTCCATGTTCTGACAGAATTCTCTCCATGACTCTTTCTTAGCTCTTCTAATTGTCCTATTGTAAACAGTGAGCATCTCTGAGTAGTTGTTCCAATTTCCTGTACGTTTTGCCACATTATACAGTCTGCGAACCTTCCTCCTCAGAGCTTCTAGCCCCCTATTCCACCAGCAGGCTTGCCTAGACATGTTCTTTACAGTCTCTGGGCACGCTTCTTGGTATGAGCTTAGTATGGCCGCATTTAGAGAATTCGCCATACTCTCCACCCCATGCCCTTCTGTGTCTTTTAATTGTCTTAGTCTGTCCCCTAGCACCTCTCGATACTGGTTCCAGTCTGTCCTTCTAACGTTCCTATAGGTCTCTTTTACACAGATCGAACCTATAGTGAATTCAATGTAGCTGTGATCTGACGCTGAGTGATCATCAGATACCCCCCATTTTACAACCTTTGTCGCCGCATAATTACTGGCCAAGGTTATGTCCAAAACCTCTTCCCTTAGTACCACCCCTCTCCTCTGTCTAAAGGTTGGTTTGGATCCCTTATTAAGTATAACTAAATTAGATTCAGCTACAAAACTTAACAAGGTAACGAATCGGTTAAAATGCAACAATCATTGATGATGACCAGGTCTTCTGAGCAGTCACTAACTGCAGATAAAGTCACTTCAAGAACTTGTGGCACTAAATTTGCTCAGAAACCTCCAGTTGATTCCAATGTGTCCAGTACCAATTACTAAAATCATGCCAGTGTGGTAACGCTCAACATGAACGACCAAAATGTCCTGCCCGGAATATTTTCTGTTGAATCTGTAACAGGAAGGGCCATTTTGCTAAATGTTGCCAGTTCAAAAATGTCAAGGAAATAAATTCAAAGTATTTAAGCTAAGATAGACACTGGAGCTGACGTTTGTGTCTTGCCACAATCACTTTATAAGTTGAAATTATTTATGTACCCACTAAATTCAAGTAACAAAGTTTTAATTGGGCCTAACAGATCTGTCCTTAATATCTTAGGCCTATTCGAGCGTACAATCCAGTACAAGAATCAATATTGTAAGTCTCAGTTTTATGTAATATCTGGTGCTGATAGAACCCTTTTGAGCAACAAAGTTAGTGAAAAATTGGGTCTATTTAAAAGGATGTTTCGAGTCAACTCAACTGGCTCATTTGATCCCTTTACATCATACCCTAAAATTTTCAGTGGTCTTGGTGATACACAAGCTCATTATAATATAAAATTAAAGCCAAAAGCTGAACCGTACTCTCTCAAAGTTCCAAGGCATGTTCCCCTACATATAAAGATGCTGTAAAAAAAGAACTGGATGCAATGTTGGATAAAGGTGTTATCGTGAGAGTAGAAACTCTGACTGACTGGTGTTCACCTCTTGTCATCGTCCCTAAAAAGGACAATTCAATAAAGACTTTGCGTAGATTTTACTAAACTTAATGAGAGTGTTAAACGAGAACTATATCCAGTGCCCTCTGTAGACTACACTCTGGGACAATTAGATGGTGCTAAGGTGTTCTCGAAACTAGATCCTAACTCGGGTTATTTGCAAATACCCATAACAGAAGAAGCTTCATATTTTTCTTCTTTCATCACACCTTTTGGAAGGTTCAGATTTTTACGACTTCCTTTCCGGATTTTCACTGGTTCAGAAGTATTCCAGCGTCAAATGTCTGAATCACTTGAAGGCCTTCAAGGTGTGATTTGCCATTTCGATAATATAACTATATACGGGAAAGATATGGAAGAACATGATAAAAATTTACATAGTATTTTGTGTAGGCTCCAGGAAAAGGGCTGGACACTTAATAGATCAAAATGTGTGTTCCGGCATTACAGTATCAGTTTACTAGGCCACCTTGTAGCTAAAAATAGTATTATAATACGACTTCCAAAGAGAAGTATACCATTTTCCTCACTTATATCTTCTCTATGATACCAGTAGGGCAATCTTTTGCAAAATTGACTGTGTGGTGGCCTCGTCTTTCTCAACAAATCAAAGAACTAGTAGAAAATTGCAAGATGTGTGCAGAAAATCGTGCTACGACAGCAGAGCTGCTGATACCAACCCCTTATCCGGACAGACCTTGGCAAATAGTGGGTGCCGATATGCTGAAGTGCAAAGGTCACTGGTATCTCTTAATCTCAGACTATTATTCCAGGTTTATGGAGATTGCTAGACTAAATGACTTTAAAATGAGCACTATTGTGACATATACAAAGTCCATCTTCGCACGTCATGGTGTACCTGAGACAGTGAGAGCAGACTGTGGTTCTCAATTTGACTGCTGTCAATTCAAACAACTTGGTCGTGATTATGGATTTAAATTGATTGCATCAAGCCCAAAATTTCCACAAAGCAACGGCTTCATCGAAGCGCAAGTAAAAAACTTTAAGTACCACTTAGAAAAAAGTGATGTTCCCTACAAAATACTACTTATGTTAAGAGCAACCCCTCTATAAAATGGGAAAAGTCCAACGGAATTACATTTCGGGAGAAGGATCCACACTTATGTTCCAATAATGTTCAATCAACTAAGACCCTATCTGGTAGACGCTGAAAAGTTAAGGGAAAAGGAAGAAGCAAGAATTGATCGTCAAAAGATTTATTTTGACAAAAGACATAGAGCCACAGAATTGCCTACTCTACCTGATGGAGCTCAAGTCCATATAAAGGACAGGAATCAAGAAGGAACTATATTAAACAAACATCCTGCACCTCAATCCTATATAATTCAAACGCAAGATGGTTGTTTGCGGAGGAACAGAAGATCACTGCAAAGATTTAGCACTACTATGCCTTCTGATCACTCTCAACCAGCACTGCAGACCAGTCCTTCAGAACACCAGAGAAGATCAGAACCTTTAAATTATCCTGCAATGGCATCACAGACAAATCCTTTAGCGAATTTAAGAAGATCAACAAGACAATTCAAACCTTCCCGGAGGTTCGATCTTTAAAGGGGAGATGTGTTGTTATTCATATGTGTTTGAAAACATATGGTGTTAGAATATTATTTGTTTAGTTTTTGTTGGTAAACATTCTGAATCTTGATTTATTGTAATAGCTACCTATTGTCGGGACCACGTAAGTTTGCAGTTAGTGGCAGCCAATCACAAGACAAGGCTAGTGCGACGTTGCCACATCGTCCATTGACAACACTAATTAAAATATAAAAGCAATATTTTCAAATCAGCTGGTATTATTAGATTTGGCAACACCGCACCGTTCTCATTGGTTCATTCAAAACCATATGGTAAATAGGCTCCTCCCTCAACTGCAAACTTATGTGCTCCCGACAATAATAAAGTATTTGTCTTATTAAAACTATATTTTAATTTAACTTACGATAACACTACAAAATGAGTGCAGCAAAAGTATGTAAATGCATCAATTAGCTACTTGGCGTACTATAATCAGTGCAAGGAAGCCTACTTTGTCAGGTAACTGTAGGAAAAAGATATTTTTAATCATTAACCGACATTAATATGTTTTGATGTAACATTTTGTATCATCTTGAATATAAATGTGTGCAAAAATACTCAAACTCAAACCCATTATCATTAGTCAGAATGTATCTTAATTTTAAGTATCTTAGTTTGAAGTTGTATCTTAAAGTTTTCCCTGTGAAAGAAAATAATTTCACCTTAAAAAGTCAGATAGCAGTATATCATCCTTGTTGATAATCAACGCTATATTTATTATTGCCACAAGTTTAGCCAATGTGACATTTCGTAATGAGGTTATCTCTTTTTTACTCAGCTTCCTTTGTATAGTTTTGCTTTCATCTTCCGTTGAACTGGCACAAGATGAGTTCAGAAGTGATCTTGCATGTTTGGTTATTTTTAACCTGAAATGTGATATACCTGTATTAAAAGTAATTGAGAATAACATTAATTGTGCAGTTAACACCTAGGAGGATTAAACATTAAGGAGAGGACACGCTTTAGTTTCGTTGAAGCCAGCGTACTGGTGACTGGGGAGGGGGGGAGACAGCGCTACTCTCCCGCCCCCACTGCATTGTATGCGTTACTGGAAGATTTGGTAACAGAAATATCAATTAACTATTAAAAAAATGAGACTTCATCATGCTACGAAAATTAAAAAGTTAAATTCTAACCGTAATATTAGGAACCTATTAAGAGGAAAGTCATATTATGAACCAATAGTACGTTCAAAGGTGAGTAATTTACACAAGGATGACTTTTTTTTTGGAATTCTTTGTCCTTGTTTATATTTTTTGCCATACTTGTATTGTGTATTATTTATAATACTCTAACCAGAGCGCAGGACTCCGGTTCATGGGGTCCCGGGTTCAAATCCCGCCATATCAAGAATGGATTTTACTGTTCATAAATTAAAACTCAAATCATGAGTAGTACTGTATGTGTATTTGAACATTTTCTTAAAGAGAAATAAAATAAGTTTTAATCCTTTAAAAGAATCATAAACACACTTTGGCGGTCAGAAGACGCGATGATTGTTGAACATTTACACTTTTTACTCGAAGTTTCTTTGAGCAAACAGATCAAATATAGTTCAATATGATATTTAAAAAATCAAGAATTTGATTGCCAAGAAATTGTTTTACTTTTTATGATTGTAATTTAATTGTAACGGCTGTTGGTGTAAAAAAAGTTAGAGCGGCTTTGCATTTTTTTCTTAACTTTGGCTATTTAAAATCACCTGCCTAGCACATAAATGACTTAAAACTAGCAAAAAATGTTATTAACAAATCGAGAAAACTATGAAAAATGCAAATTTAAAATGTATTTCACCACCCGAATTGAAATTTTCATTTTAACCTATTATTAGTAAGATTATTTTATAAACTGGAAAAATTAAAAAAACTTTATTGTAATTATTTTTCTAAATACCACTTTTAAATATAGGTAAATATATATTTTTTATTTCGAGAAACTCTTAAGGAACACGAATAAATTGTTAATTTGTGTAGATACATCATATTTTTTTCAAAAACGTAATTAAAGTAATCATATGTTCAAAGTCCAGGTCAATTCTTTCAAATTGCATCTTCAATAATAAATAATAAATAATAGTTTTTATAGGAATGATTGACACCAGTCGATAGGAAATTTAATTTACTTTAAGAATGCCATCGGTGAATAACACAGGTGTTTTAGTTTAGCGGGAATTTTAATTCGAAACAGCGCGCGTCGCGTTTTTCCCTATCTCTCCCATGTTATAGCCGAGGCTTTTTGCCACTCTACGGCTCCGCGTGCCCCTCTAGTGTTCTGCTAAAGCTGGCTTCACCGCAACACGTGTATTCCTATTCGCGTGCCCTCTCCTTAATGTTTAATCCTCCTAGGTTAACACACCTTGATTTAAAATTCTTAGCAAAGTAGATTATTGATATTCTGGCTGTTAGCAAATTGAAAATCTCTAGAAAGCTGCCAATGTTCAAGCCACTAACACAGGATTGTTAAAAAAAACCACAAGCAGGTCAACGAGCTGAGTCACATCACACTGCAACTTAAGCCAATCAGAAATTTGATTACAGTAGTAATAGCCCAGTCAATAAAGGGATTGTGTCGGAACTAATAAGTGAAAGGCTGATTTTTTCACAGATGTTAGTTGTCAGTTGATCATATAAGGAACATTTTCTGAAAAGACCCTGCCCATCCCTCTCTTACTTCCCCCCCACCCCCTTTTAAGTTAAAATGTGTAAGCCTTTTAGCGAATTTCTCTATGGGGAAGAATTAGCGAATTTCCCTATAGGGAAGTAGCTCTTACCGTGGGTGGCACGGTAAGACCTAGGCCCGGGACCAATTTACTTTTTCATTTTGATGTCCCCAGAGGCCAAAAATACCATTCCTTAAAATTTTTATATATGTATAACTAGCAGAGTACCCGTCCTTCGTACGGGGTTGGTATATAAGTAAGAAATTCTTATTGCAGTTATACTCAAGCTTTGGATTTTCAATGGGGGAGGACACAGTTTGATAAAATTTGCTTCTTTAAAAATGCACAGTACCCTATAGTATTACACATCTACCATAGCCATAATGTTCTACCACTTCACCTAAACAATAGAGAAACATTAATTATCATAAACTCACAGATTATCACAAATTATTCATGAAATTAAAAACATAAACATAACTGTAAACAATCCTACTTTGACAGTTATCATTGCATATCACAGTTGTTTGTTGCTGCTTAGTTCAAATTAGCTGTTTTCATAAATGAACAAAATAATAGTGCTGCACCCTGTTGGTAAATCCCATAACTTTTAATGCTTTTGAATATCATAGAACCAACTTTTTTAGTTGAAACAGCTGAAAAAATTCTTTAATTCCCTTTAAATATGAATACTTATAAGGTTAGCATGGGGAACCACAGAGCCTTTGGGGTGGAGCCTGAAAGGATTTTTGAGATAACAATATGCCTATATGTTAATCGGGAATGTGAGCTATCATCATGCCAAATTTCAGCCCAATCCGTCCAGTAGTTAATGTTTGATTGAACTTCAAACAAACAAACACACAAACTTTCACATTTATAATATTTATACTAGCAGAGTACCCGTCCTTCGTACGGGGTTAAGTTTAAAATGCTCATTGCAGTTATATCCAAGCCTTGCGTTTGCAATGGGGGAGGAAAAAGTTTGATAAAATTTGCTTCTTTAAATTGACAGTATACTAATGGTATTACACATCTACCATAACCATAATGTTCTACCACTGCAACTAAACAATAGAGCCTAAACAATATTTTGGTTGATTCGCAAAATATCACAAATTATTCATGAAATTAAAAAAAAAACATAACTGTAAACAATCCTACTTTGACAGTTCTCATTGCATATTACAGTTTTTTGTTGCTGCTTAGTTCAAATTAGCTGTTTTCATAAATGAAAAAAATAATAGTGCTGCACCCTGTTGGTAAATCTTATAACTTTTAATGCTTTTGAATATCATGGAACCAACTATTTAGTTGAAACAGCTGAAAAAACTCTTTAATTCCCTTTAAATATGAATACTTATAAGGTTAGCATGGGGAACCGCAGAGCCTTTGGGGCGGAGCCCGAAAGGATATTTGAGATAAGAATATGCCTATGTTAATCGGGAATGTGAGCTATCATCATGCCAAATTTCAGCCCAATCCGTCCAGTAGTTAATGTGTGATTGAACTTCAAACAAACAAACAAACAAACAAACACACAAACTTTCACATTAATTTTTAATATTAGTAAGATTATAGATGTATATAAGGGTTATAAATGTGTCCGTGAACGCAATAACTCGAAAAATCTGAATTTTTTTTTTTCTTACGAAATTTGGGAACAGGGTATTATGGGGGGTTTTATGGGGGGTTTTATGGGGTAAAAATTGGGTTTTCTCATTATTTCCAAATTTCTACATTTCTAACATTTTTAAAGACCATAAGAAAACAAATTATTTAGTACCATATATTTAAGTGTTTTTGTTACAGTTATTGGATACGGAGTAAATTCTTCTCTCCAAACCATTTTGTAGAGCTTAAAAAAAGAAATACTTTTGTATATTGAAGCGTTGTTGTATGCCCAACGGTTACGGAGATAATTAAAAAAATTGTCAATTTAAAATTCCCATGTTATTCTTATGGAGAATAAGTTAACTGTTGTAGTTTCCTTGATCATGGATATATATTGACCAAACTTGGCAAATTTAGTTATTTTATACTAAGCTATTTATATTTTACTAAAAACACACTTTATTACCCTCACTATCGCAGCAAACCTAGGTACTCATTAAATTTAATGTTATTTAAATAGATTGTGAAAATCAAATCAGGCAAATGGAAATTGGATTTGTCTGCAGGTTTGCTCCGGGGGTGTATTTGTTATTGTTTTTATTGATATTAATATGGTAAAATTCAATTCAATGCGATATTAATAACAAACTGAATCATTGTCAATATAGGCTATATTTATGTATACTAGAGGTCGTCCAGTGGTCGAAAACTCGACTAAAAATATTGAATATACAGACTTTCCCTATCGCTGTATATAAAACATGTGATAGGAACTTCTCCCATTTGTTTTGAATATCTGTTTTTATTTTGTTATTATTTCGTCACTAGCATGGCAACCCATGAAGCCCATCTTAATTTTTTTAAATTTAAAATTCATTTTTCGAGCTTATTTTTGAGCCTATTTTTTATTTATAAAGGGATTCTGCACATCTACAGGAAAATATCTTTCTAAAAGTATGTGTAGATTTTCCCTTCAATGAACACGAGCTGAGAAAAAAGGTTTAAAAGAAACATGCTTGCCTATTAATATATATCAAATCAAATTTATGTCTTTATTCATAATATGTACAATTTATGTACAATGGATGGTGTCAAATCTTATTTCTAAGAAATAAAAATAAGTACATTAAAATTATCCTATTTACAATATCAATTTACAATAGAGTACACCTAAATCTTACCAACAACGCAATTTATTCTATTTAAAAACTCATTAATTGAATGCCTTTAAATTTGTATTGAATTTTTTAATGTTAGTCTCACTTTTCAAACTTTCTGGCAATCTATTAAAGAATTTGGCGCCCTTATATGTGGGGGTTTCTTTTATGTAATTTATGTTTTTCTAATTTCAAATCATTTTTGTGCCAAGTGTTATAAGTATGATTATGGCCAATAAAACTGGTATTAGTCATATTTTGCTTCACATACATAACACATTCATATACTGTCACGATTGTGACAGGAATTATATTTTATTTTCATAGGTTATTACGTGATAGAATTGAATGTGAATACAAATCCTGGAAAACTAGAAGAAACCGGTCTTCTTAGTTCAAGTCGATGTTAGCATTGATAACCGCAAACGCGGAGATT